CCCCCCCCCCCCCCCCAAACTTAGTAATTTTTATTGTTTGATTTATTGAAATTTTTTCTTGGGACGACAGTTTTATTGTATACCTGTTCACCATACAGCATTGGGGGCCAACGTTTTTAGCAGGCAAGTCACAACTTAAGCTCCACACTTTCCCTGGGTGCCACTCCGATGCCCTTCCCCTACCTCAGGCATCGGCAATTATTTTGGCTGTAGGGCTGCTTAACAGGCTTTGGCGAGCTGCCCGGAGCCCATGCCTGGCTCCCCTGAGTCTCCACTGCCATCACTGCTGCCTCTGGGCTGCCCTGCGGGGTAGCAGAGGAGCCGCAGGGCAGCCCTATGTGGGCTCTGGGCAGCTGCAGCAGGAAAGGCCTGGCAGTGGTGAGGGGAAGGGCCTGCTTTGCCCTAGTGCTGAGCAACAGTTTCTGCATGGCTGCTGCCCCCACTGCTGCTGCTCAGCCTGGGCAGGCCAGTCTGCAGTAGGTACAGGGCAGGCCAGGTTGGGGCTGTGCGCATGGGTCCCCACTGGTACTGCAGGGCTGGGGTCAGCAGGGGTGGCAGCTAGAAGGAGCTGCTGCTGTCTGGGCTGCCTAGAAAGGCAGTCCAGCTGCTCCAGCCCCACTACGTGCCGAGGGGTGGCAGGACGCGCCATGGCCAGACAGTGCCTGGGCCAGGTGGGATCGAAGGACCTGCCGCAGGCTGGACAAAGCCCCTCTCGGCCTGCGTCTGGCCCAGGGCTCTGTTTTGCTGACCCCTAGCCCTACCTGATGCACTGCTCTGCTTTCAGTTTCCTGCCCTGTGCTCCTTGTCCCATATGCCAATCTGCTTTTTGCCCTATCTGTCACCATGCCCCCTGCACTCTGCGATCTGCCACATGCCACACAAAAAAAGCTGTGTTTAAGTGGTGGGTGTAGCCTCCCTTTTAGGATTTCCTTGTCTGTCTGTCCTTTTCCATTTAACACAAACTCTTTTTTTTGTGTCATGGTTGTCTTCTGCAGCTGCTTCCCTCTCTGCAGGACCTGGAGATACATTTTCCTTAGTTCCTAAGACAACTTCTATTATAAAAATAACAGCTTCTGCCTCTGAATTAAACAGTTCATTTTGGTACCTCATCCTTCCAGTGATGCACTTCTTATGGAAAGGGTTTGGAGGACCCCAAAACAAGTTATCTGGTCAAAAAGATCTTGAAATGATCTGTCTAACACTGAGGTCAATGTTTACCTTGTTTCTTGCCAGAATTAGTTTTTTAGATTTTGGTTGGCTCCTCTGAAAGCTCTTTTCTTACATTTGCAACCCTTCACTTCTGGGGTGACAATTTTTGTGGATTGTACCTGTTTTAGGTAGTCATGTAGGAAGAAATGAATCTCCACCAGGAACAATTTCATTCAGGATTTTGAAGTACAGGGCAGAGACTATGAGGCAAACTCTAGTCCTTGGGATGACAGTGCAGGAAGAAAAGCACCAAAGTAATATACTCACAGAGAAATCTCCATTTATGAGAGGATTTTACATGTACTGCAGAATCTATTTTAAAGAAAACAAATGAAATGCAGGGTGTTATTTCTTGGTAAGAATTGCGCTAAAGATCTGGACCTGCCTGGATCTTTCTGACTAATTTTGAATCTTATAGAGAAGTGTAAACTTGTAGTCAGTTGTAGCTTGCCAAAGTGACTGTTTGGTTACCCATTATACCTGCAAACTCCAAAGGACTTTGCATCATACCCCTGACTGCTTCACTGTAAAGCTACATCTACAGTGCTGTGGGACTTTAAAAGAAACTTGTGATTTTTGTTGCTGAAAAGGTTTTCTTTTGTTTTTGTTTTGTTTTGTGGTTTGTTTTTTTTTAACTAGATTTTGAATTGCTTAGTTTATCTCTAATTTTATATGAAGACAAACTTAAAATGTGTGAGGCCATTTACTTTGAGCTTTTACTTGAAGATCTGGTGAATACTTAAATATTTCATGCAGTCTCTTTCCACTGAATGCGAGTTAATTGTTGAAGTTTAGATAGGATGTTAAATGTCAAAGAATCACCAGAATTTTGAACGTAATGACAAAAATATCGTCCCCTTCTGAATAGCTGACATTCTGCTCTTTTGCGATTTATGGTGTCATTTCTGATGAGCTAGTTCTCTGTTTGTCATGGGTATTCCAGTTTGGTACAGGATCTCAGTTATCAATGTAACAACAAGCAGAAAAGTCCTGTAAAATCCAAAGGGAGAGTGAAGGAGGTTTTCAGGTTTCTTTTATATTCCAGACAGACTTGAGAGAGTCACAAACCCAATTGTTTCTCTTTCATTAGGTTGCTTTAAATATGTTTCATGGCAGAAGTGTCTCCTTGCTGTGCATAATCAAGAAAGAAAGTTTGTTTTTCTGACTTACACATTCAGTTAACTATTTTGCTTAAAGTCAGCATTTACCAGCATTGGTTTTATGGGGTTGTATGTCTTCAGTTTTTATATTTTTCTGTGTTCTTAACGGTTTTAAATGTCTCTTTGGAAAAAAAAAGTGTTTTTCAATTTGCAGGTATTTAAGGATAATTGCTGTAGGAGGGAGCTTCTTGCCCTTCAGATATATTGCAGAAATGAAAACAAGGGCTGCAAAGAACAGTTAACCCTGGGCCAGTTACTGGTAAGTAACATGACCTAATACACTTACTTTCAAGGTAGAGAATGGAAGAAAAATCAGAATTGAATCTAGAATTCAATTACAATTTATTTACTTCCTGATTAAGTCATTGTTGTGAGGAAATTTGATTGGTTATAGGTATTACAGTGGAGTAGAATTTGTGATATTCTGCTTTTAATTGACACGTAAAGAAGCAGTTTATGGTATCTACCTACTCAGTAAAAGTTTCAGGCACTTCGGTCTATGTGGACATCAGACCACTTATTTAGGTGCCTAAAAGTTTTTGAACAGTTGCTCATAATGTTCAAAACTTGTAAGAGAGAATCTGAGCTGCCCATTTGGAGAATCTTTAATATGCCTTAACTTCCCAAATATCTCTAGGTAGTAAACATTTGTTTTGTGTTTTAATTTACCATCCTGTTATCAAACACTTAAAATGCTTTAGAAATTTTTGCTTTTAAAAAGTTATTTTGGTTTCTCATTATTGTAGGGTTTGAACTTCTTTTACAAAAGTTCTTGAAAGTTATTGTAAGTTGTCAAGCTTCTGAAATCTCCTGATACTTAAGAAAAACTTTAATCTTTGCTCTCTCAGGCATGAAGTATCAGAAATCTGAGAGTCAGAGGATATGTCTATGTGGCTGTCTGCTATGTAATGTTAGATATAGCCGAGTTTATTTGGGTGTTGGAAGCAATTCTGACTGCACCTACACAGATCTTCATGCCAACTGGTTTACGACAGTGAGGAGATAAATTAGCCCGTGGCGAAGTTTATCCTGCTGCAGCTAGACTCCTGGTATGCAGACTAGCTTGGGTGCCTCTACACTACCTTGCAGTTCGTTTTATAGACTTACCCTAACTTGAGAACATGCATCTCAGTAAATCTACTTCTCCATAGTTATGCATAGGTCTGAGGTATAATGGGCTGTACATCTGCTTAATGAGATGCAATAAGATATGATGAGAAGAAACATAACATTTAGATCACTCAATTATTTTTATCTTACAGATGCATTTGAAAAATGACTGCCAATTCGAAGAACTTTCATGTCCTCGTGCTGATTGTAAAGAAAAAATACTGAGAAAAGACTTGCCAGACCATGTAGAAAAGACCTGTAAATATCGAGAGACGACATGTAAATACTGTAAAAGCCAAGTTGCAATGATTACATTACAGGTGCAGTGTTTTTTTCTATTCCTGAAACCAGTTACTGCATGTGATGTAGAATAACGACTAACCTTTTGCAGGCTTCTATTTTGGCAGCTATCAGAAATATCAGAGTAGTGGGCTTTCAATATTAATTAGACCAAATTTGCTTCTGCCTTTTTTTCAAGAGTTATTTATTATTTACTGCTTGCTGTCAAAATAGACTTGCTGAGTAAGCTTTCGCCATCCATTGGATTGAGTGGGAAATGTTAGTGTCAGAAATGCAAAGAATTATTGTTTAAAAAATATAGAATTTTCAGATCTTCCAGTGAAAAATCTCAGTGCTGAAGTTAAATATAAATGGAACAGAAAAATGAACGCCAACATTTAAATTGGCACATTGCATAAAGTTACCATTTTAACAATACATCCTTATGCTGGACTAGGTGTTTCTGAGGAAAAGTGCATTATCATTCATTTCTCTTTGAGATGTTCATATCATTCCAAAACAGCAGTGTACCCTTCTGCATTCATGACAGAGAATTGTATAAGCTAGTATGGGGGGAAAAAAGGGGGGAAAATGATCATAGCATCAAAACCAACGCTACCTATTATCTTTGCACATCATATGTGACCCATTGGTTTTAGGTACTGACAGAGCATTATTATTTTTCACCTAATGATAAGATAACTGGTAAGCAGCATATTATAAGATGGATAGAACTATGGATTAGAAATGGGGGATTCAATTCTAGTTGTATATGGAATCTGTATAGCTGTGGTTTTTCTGAACCACATTGCATCACATGATTTTGAAGCCATTCTCATATAATTTCTTGCTCTGTGTGTGTTTTTTTTTTAAAAAATCATACTTGTGCAGTGTTTCTTTTTCTCTGACTTCCCAGATTTCTTGGAATCTCTTCATCCATATATATATGTGGGTGTGTATGTGGATAGAGATTTTCTCACTTTTGTAAGACTAAGATTACATCCCAGTCCAAAGAGATTCTTTATGTGCCTCTGTAGAGATGCTAGAATCTGATATGCTGAGAGAGAGAATCCAGTGCATTGGAGCAGAATCAATTAATTGAGTCTGAAATGGATGCGGTCCATCAGCCTTCTGCGTCATGTGCATCAGCATCCCTGTACTGAAAAATGGCAGTGGGGCGCATTGAAATAAAACATGTTCAATGACCTTTAGTTCAAAACGCCCTGTCACCAATTTTTCAGTGCAAGGATGCGTGGGGATGCTGATACTCATGACGCTCAGGCCCTTTTAATTAGCATGGCTTGCTAATTAAAGCACCAAGCTCCGTGTCCCAGAGCACATGTGAAAATGCCCGTTGTGCTCAAACTGGGGGGGACACAATCTTCATCTCAGGATTCTGAAAGTTGCATGCGAGGTGACAGAGCAAGAATGTTTACACGGGTGATAGCAGAATAGCAAATGTGGTACCTGCATTTGAAAGAGGGGAATAAGTCATCAGGGTGACAACAGACCTGTTAATTTGATGGTAGTAGCCTTGATGACAAGCAGTGCCAGATTATGACATGCTGAGGCCCTAAACTATTCCCAGTTTAAGAGACCTCATACAATAAAAATAATCCATGAAAATGGATTTTCATGAAATTTTGAGATGAATATTTAAAATGAAGATGTTATTTCTGCACAAATTTACGAACTCAATATGAATAATAACTGTGAATCATATATATGTATATTTTTGTCATATTAGAACGAAAACGTCGAGTTTTTTTTCCTTCTATAGAGACCCCTTTTATTGTGAGGCCCTAAACTGTAGCTTAAGTTAAATCTGGCACAGATGACAAGACTTTAGAACAGAATTTTGAATGAATGTATAGGGCAAGCTTTGGAAGGTAAAAGAAAAATTAGATAAAATTTGGTATGAGTTTACCAAAGATGATTTGTGCTGGATCAAAACAGCCTCTTCCTTTAACAAGATAATCAACATTCAAGACAAAGAAAATGCAGTAGATCTAATCTATCTAAACTTCAGTACAGCACTTTATGTGGAGCCATGTGGAACAGTATTAGACAAGCTGGAGAAAATGGGACTTTGCAGAAGAGTTGTTAGGG